ATTATATCTATATTATTTTTAGCTTTATTATAAAATTCAGGTTTAGATTTAAAGCTATTAATATTAACTTTAGTATTTCCTATATAAAAAGGCTTTATAAAAGTTTAATAAAAATAATATTACTATATAATAAAGCTAGTATATAATTCTTTTTATTAATAGCTATTAGTTTATATAACTTATTTTAATTATCTAATTAATTAATATTTCTTTTATATTATATAAAAATATTTAAATTCAATTTTTTTTATAAATATTAATAATACTAGAACTATTTCGGGTATTTAAAGCATTTATTATTTAATATTTAATTTAAAGTTTCTGGATTTCTGTTATTATCTTTTTAAAAGCTATTAATTATTATAAAATAATAAATATTAAAGTATTATATTCGATTATTTATAATAAAGTATTATAAATTAAAAGAATTAGAATAATATTATTAGGTTTCATAAAATTATTAATAGTTTTAAAAGCTATTTAAAATATAATATTTTTATTAATTTCATTAATTTTAATTATAATAATAAAATCAAGATATCGGATTAATATATAATAATATTTTATAATTCTAATAAAGTTATAAGCTTTTATAGAAATAATTTTAATCTTTATATCTATAATATTTATAAGTTAAGCGAATTTTTTACTAGTAAATTACTTTTTAATATTTATTATAATTTAATTAAAGAGGCCTAAATAATTATTAATTTAGTATTATTTAAATATATTTCAAATATATATTATATTAATATTTTAAAGCTATTAGCTGGCTTAATATCGAGTATTTTTATTAATAATATAAACTATAAGCTTACTAGAAATATAGAAAATATTAATAATAGTAAAATAATTAAAGCTAATATTATTTCTCAAATTAAATTTAAATTATTCGAGTAATTAGCTAAATTTCTAGTATTATTTATAATATTTTATAAAGTATTTAAAAGCCTTTATATTAATATTATAGCCTCTTTATTCTAATATATTCCGAAATTTATTAATAAATAAATAACTAAATTAATAATATAAATATTATAATTTAATCTTTATAAAAAACCAGAAATTATAAATAAAGAATTCGAAAATAAAGCTTTATAATATAGTATTTTAAAATAAGAAAGAATATTTGAAATATAATATTATAAATATATAGTTTCTAGTAAAAGTAATAAGATAATTAGTAAAATTATTAAAATAGATTCCTAGCTTATTTATATTAGCTAATCTAAATAAAAATAAAGTCTTTAAAAATATAATATAGAATTATATTTACTTAATTAATATATTTAATATTATAGATTTAATAAAGAATATAAATCTGATATTAAACTAAATACTAATTTAATTTTTAGTAATTTTATTAAATTTAATACTATTATTAGTTTATTATAAAACTTGAAATTAGTTTAAACTAGTAATTAAATATTTAAAGGCTCTAGTATTAATTATAATTTCATAAAAGTAATAAATATTATATCTTAATATATTATTAATTATAAAAGTCTAAATATCTTTTATTAAGGTTTTAATAGGCTTTAAGATATAGTTTTTACTTATTATCTAATATATAAGAAATAGAAAAAGAATATTATTTATAAAAGTATTAGTTATAATTATTAGTAAAATAAAAGTAAAAAAAATAGCTAAAAAGCTTTTAATTAAAGTAAAATAGAAATCTAAATAATATTTCTTTTTTTTATCCGTTTAATAATAAAGCCTTAAAAGTATTATTTATTAGTTTATTTTTATTACTTTTATTTTTTATATTTTTTAATTATAGTAATATATTATATATAAGTATTACCAAAATATTTATTAAAATTATAGGTATTTTAAAATCTAAATTAATAGATATTTCTATTTTTAAATCAAGCTATTTTAGTTTTTTATTTCTCTAATATATACTTTTATAAATAATATTCGGGTTTCTTATATATGAAACACGATTTCGAAATATAATTATTATAATTATAGAACTTGAAATAGTTATTATGAATTCTGAAATTGCAGCTAAATCTATATTAATAATTTCTGAATAAATAATAGTTTAAAGAATTCTAAGAATAATATTATTAATTAGTAAAAAAGGTTTCGAAATTAGCTTATTATTTGCTTTAATATATAGTAATAAATAATTAGAGCTTATTAATAGGTTAGTTGAGATTTATAAAAAAGTCTAAAATTATATATTTATATATCCGAGAACCTTAATAAAAGATAATAATTTTATTATAAAGAAATTTAGTACTTTATAAGTTAGATATAAAATTATATTATAATTAATATAATAATAATAAGGCTTTTAGTAAAGTAAGCCTTTTAAATAAAGTAATTTTTTTATTATTAATTTAAGCTTAATATTAAATAAATAAATTAAATAAATAAGTTAAATAAATAAGTTAAATAAATAATTATTTTATATAAAATAATAATAATTTATTAAATTCAAATCTTTTTTTTATAATAAAAAATTAATAATATTATTATATTTTTAATTAGCTTTTATTAAAGCCTTTATAATTTCGGTCTAAATAAAAAACTCGAATAATAATATTTAGCTTATAAATAAATTATTAAATAAGAACTAAATATTATTAAAACTTGAAAAGCTAAAATAAGAAAGAAAGAAAAAGTATTTAAATATTATAAAATAGCTTTCTTTTATCATATAATAATATCTAAAATACTTTTATATATTGTTTTTATTTAAAAGATATATATATATAGCCCTTAATATAATATTTAATAATAAGCTAAACTTTAATAGCTTTTTGAGCTTACTATTATTAATTAAACTAAAAAATAAATATTAATTAATAGTTTTATATTTATTATTAGTCTTTAATTACTTATAATAATATATATTAATTAATTTTAAAAAGTTTATTAAAAGTAGAAACAAATATAATATAATAATAATCTTTATTTATTATTTAAATATATATTTTATTATAATTTTTATTTGAAATATAATTATAATTAAAAAGCTAATATTTCTTTTTCTTATTTATATTATATATTAAATAAGTATTTTAAAGATTATAATATTTAATTATAGCTTATAACTTATATTAATATAAAGTTTAAATTATTAATTATTATAAAAATAACTAATATAAAGAAATAATAATAATTAATTACTAGTAAATAACTTTAGTTTAATAAAACTATAAACTAGTTTTTCTTTTAATAAAAAGAGCTATAAAAGTAATATATTATTTAAGCTAATAAATATTAGAAAAATAATTATTTAAATTACAAGCTAGCTTATTAAATAAAAAGCTTATATAAGATTCTAAAATATCTTAAATATCTTTTTAAGCCTAAATTATTAGTATTAATAGAATTATATTTTATATTTTATATAAAGAAATTATATAAAAATTTAATTAATTTTTTTTAAATATATAGAATTAGTACTTTTATTAATAAATTAGAAAATAAAGAAATAAAATATAAAGTTTAAAAATACTAGTAATGAAACTATTTTATAAAAAGCTTAAATATTAAATATAATAAAAAAAATCAAATCTAGAATAATATTCGAATTCTTTATTAAATAATAGCTCTTTAATTCTTTAAAACTTTTATATTAAAAACATTAAAAAGCTAAAATTACTTTAAAACTTAGAATATTAACTAAATTATATTAAATAAATAGACAGTCTTTAAAATAAAAGCTATAGCTTTTATTATATAATAACTAAAATATATAATTTTCAAAATTATAATATAAATTTTCGAAATTTGAAAATAAGCTTATTTTAAGAAAAAAAGTAATATTATAATTATTATATTATATAATACTAGTAAGAATTAAATTAAAACTAGCTAAATATATAAAGTTAAAATCAAAAAATAAAATTAAGGTTATATATTATAATTTTATTTAATAAATATATAAGCTTATAGATAATTTGAAATTATTTTATTTTAAGCTTCTTTTAAAAAATTCTTTTTTTGACTTTAAATTATTAAAATAAGAATAATTTAATTATATTTTTCAAGCCCTAAATGTTATACTTATATTATTATTTCCTTATAAAATTATATTAAATTAAAAAATATAAATTTAATATAAGTATTATAAATTTTGTTTTTTTATTTAAACTATTCTTTATATTAAAAAATATTTCTTATTTTCATAAAGAGCTTATATATATTTAAAGAAATATATATAATTATAAAAGGAAATTTAAACTTATTTATTTACTTATATAATATTCTATTATTATATACTTTATATATATAAACTCGCTTACTATTCATTATTATTTTTTAGCTTTAAATTCCTATATTTCATTATAATAATTTAAAACAAGTTTTATAATATATAATAAATTTAATATTATATATTATTATTAGATTTAATTAACTTAAAAGTATTCTTTTAATTAGCTAATTTTTACTTTTTAAGCTCGGTTTATTAAACTCTAGTAATTATACTCTTATATATATTTATTTACTTATTATTCTTTATTCTCTTTTTTTCTTCTTCTCTTCTTAGCTTTAGTTTTATAATATGAGCAAGATTTAGCAAATTATAGATATTATATTATTGCCGACTTATTTGTGCCTTATGTCTCTTACGTGCCTTCACATAAAGAAGGGAAAGAAAGAGCGGTTCCCAGAACCCCTATTTCAGTGCCCATAAGATTAACATCCGCAACTGTTCCGAGTCTTAGACCAAACAAGAAAAGGGGCTTGGTGAGCACGTGTCGCCCTAGCTAGATGACTGGGCGTCACGCGATTGGCGCACCGGTGCCGATAGCTGGTGCCGATAGTTGGTGCCGATGCGATCATTCTGTTTTGCGACCCTTTACATATTTTGCTGTTTGCATACAATAGCTATGTCTTGGTTCTGCTCTGTACTTCTAGGACGCCTTCCTAAAGCTACATTTCTAGGTGTGTTTTTCGTCAACCTAAGAGCCATTTCCCTAGGAACTATTCTCTTCAATATTCGACATCAACCCCCAAAAATCTGCGGAGACACAACAATGAGACTTATTCACACAGAGAAGCGTGAAGTCCACGATTTCCTGGATGCTCTTAGCATCCCACGATATGTGGCTCTTTCATACTCCTGGGCAGCGGACGAAGTTGGACGCGGGGATCTGAGAGACACCAGTCTGGCTTCCGAGAAGTTAAGCCTCCAGAAACTCAAGGAATTCTGTCGAGAAGCTGGTAATCTCAGCTTCGAATGGCTTTGGGTTGATACTGTATGTGTGGATCGTTCCTCGACTGCAGAGCTCTCTGAAGCTATAAACTCGATGTTCAAGTGGTTTCGACAAAGCGGTGCTTGCATTGTCTATCTCAGCGACGTTGACTATGTTGGCAATGTGCAAGAGCAAGAGAAGAATATTCGACAGAGCCGGTGGATGCGAAGATCTTGGACTCTTCAGGAACTCATCGCCCCCAAGAACATGTATTTTTATGCCGCAAACTGGATGATGATAGGCACGAAAGAGTCTCTTTTACCTCTTCTCTCCGAAGTCACTCAGGTTGACAAAGCTGTCTTGGAGAATGCAGACCATCTCTCGGATTACTCCATCGGAAGGATAATGTCCTGGGCTGCGAATCGCGAGGCTCGACGAGTTGAGGATATCGCATATTCACTACTTGGCCTATTTGGAGTGAGTATGCCCGTCATATACGGCGAAGGGCATACGGCGTTTACACGACTACAAGAAAAGATCTTCCAGAGAACAGACGACGCTACTTTGTTTGCCTGGCAGTCATCCAACAGCAATCATATGTACCGTGGCCTATTTGCACAATCTCCTTTTGAATTCGCTCATTTTGCTACTCGATCAAATGGGACTCCACTCCGGATTCATGGCGATGTGTACTTCAGCCATGGCGGTGTTACAATCGAGAGTGACTTCAGAGTCCTGGCAGGAGTGGAACGAGACTTGGTTCTCTTACTGTGGGATGAAACACTCTCCGACGACAGACCATACTTCGGAATAGTCTTCCATGACTGTGACGGTCGTTTCGTGCGTCCTGCTCCACAGCTAATCTTAAGTCACCCTGACTTACCGAAACAAGCAAAAAGGATTCGAATACAGTGCGAAGTAGATCTCAGAAGTTCTATCGGATGTGCCAAAGAGCTAGCTCGGTTTAGTGCAGATCTAAATGCATTTAAGACAGCAAGCGGGGCAAATACAAGCAGGCCAACTGGCTCACTTGACCGATCTATCCTTCCATTAAGTTACAACAACATTAGCCACGAAACCAAGTCGACAGATCATGGGATCGCTTGGCTTACTACTGGATCGAACATAGGTAATAGAGTTTTCGGCCGTGGATTAGCATTAGGGGGGACTTTTAATCAAGGCCAGAACAACAGCGCTCTCTCGGTACAGAAGCACAGGACTATATCCGAGGGTCAAGTTACCGGCAGGCCCGAGGCGGACTGTCAGTCGAATCACGGTCACAAATCGCCCTACCCCTTTATTCCTGACGCCTTCGAGGCGAGTGACAACGACTCCCCCTACGAAGACGCGGATATCTTTATCTTGTCACCTCCTGATGTTCCCAAATTAAACACAGAACACGCATTCGCCGCAATCAAGAATGACCTTGCCAGTTTCGCACGAGCGGAATTCTCCACTACTGAGTCGCAACCTACACAGCTCACGGGCAAGCGCGCAGGAGGCACAGGAGTTTTGTCAGTGAGCAAGCGCCGCAAGTCCACGCCTGACTCCCACATCGCGGTGGAATATCTTACAGACTCGGAGGACGAAGATGCCGTCGTCATCAACAACCAGCAGCCGTCGATGGAGCGCAGCTTCCATTGTCCTTACTACGTTCACCAACCGCGCGGCCATCAATCTTGCTTGACACGCGCGGATCTCCGGGACGTCAGGGACGTCAAACAGCACCTGTGGTTCGCCCACCGCCGCAGCCCCTTCTGCCCCATATGCGGCGACTTCTTTCCAACTACAGCCGACTGCGACCAGCACATCAGGGCGCGGTCGTGCACGGTACGGACAGTGCCAGACATAGAAGGCATATCTATAGAGCAGATGAAGCTGCTTGCACGCCGCCTTAATGCGGAACTCTCACAGGAGGAGAAATGGTTCGCCGTCTGGGACGTGGTCTTTCCGGAGGTGCCACGGCCGCCCCAGGCACGTCTGTCAGCGCCACTCGAATCTGACGTGTGTCGCCTGCGGGACTACTGGGCGCGCCAGGGGAGGCAGGTGATTGCGAAATTCCTGGAGGATAGGGGCCTGACTAACGACTACGAGATGGAGGACGAGGAGCGGAGCCTAGAGGCCTTGTACATTGCGGTGCTGAACCAGATAATCGATGAGATGGTTGAGGAGCCCCGAGAGCCCTGGGGGCGCTGAGCGTTGTGATGTTCTGGATACCGGCGACGTGGACATTGGGATGTCATGATTGGAGGCAAATCATGATTTGTGAATCTCCCGATTTAGATGATAGGTTCAATCTTGTGATCTTGTACTGATTGTGACGGCAGGTTGCCCATTACTATTAGGACGTGGTCTGGAGCCTCTCAGCCTTGGAAGTCATCCATTATTCTACTGAGAATATTATGAATTGATCCCGCGGACTGCAGATAAAAATAAGGGTTTAAGGTGCGACCGTATGCGGATACTTGTTTGAGATTGACTCAAAGAGGTGCTAAATGAGATATTTTGAAAGTGATCTGGGTGTCAAGCAACTTTCACGCCTGGACCTAATATTCTTGCCATTTAAGGAGTTCCTTTCGCAGGCAACCTTATTAAAGCAAATTTTGTGTGTAACAAAAGTAAATAAAAAAATAGTGTGTTCTAAACTCAAGTAGCCCCTTAACTTCCTTTTCGAAATGTGAAAGTTTCCTCGGCGCCTAATAACTCTGGAAAAGAGAGTCAAATTGAGTGTTCATATCAAAGGGTGAACTAAAATAAAACGCTTCTTCGGGACTAAATTGACCAAGCACCTCTCCAACAACCTCGTCAGGCGCAAATTGCGGTCCCGAATCAGGCAATTGAAATGAATTCCTGCGGCTCACGCGCGACGTTTCCATGCTCTGCGCGTCCAGTCCCGTATTCGATGACGAGCCCTGTTCGGAAGCAGTGCTATCTATTGACTCCGCAAATTGATCAAAGACGGTGTTCATGATAGCGCTGATGCTTCTCTGGTCGACACAATTGAAGTGGCCGATGATCCCGGACCGCCGTGTGTTCCAGAGTGCGCGAAGCAGCGGTGTCACCTCCTCAAAGTAGTTGCCTACGAAAACGGATTCAGGCTTGGCCTCGCCGGGGAAAATGATGTCGAACGTCTCGTACCACTGGTCTTCCAGGCGCTTACTCCGGTTGACGTACATTGTAAGGGCTTTCTTCTGCTGTTCGGTGATCCCGTCATACTGCGGGTCGGTACACATCTGGCAACTCGCCGGCCGAGTGTGCACGTCGCGATCAGAGGCGGTAGAAAAGACTTGGAAGCACCGGGAGCAGTAGAATTCGGGCTTGCTATGCTTCCGGTGGAGGTGCTGCTTGACGTCTTTGATCCGCCGGAGCTGATAACTCAGGCAAACTTGGTACTTGAGAGGATCTCTTTTATAGAAGGGACATCCTAGGCACTGGTTTCGCGGTTCTTCGCATTCATGACGTTGCCGTTTAGTAGAAGATTCGTCGTCGTCGCAATCTGAGCCGCTGCCTCGAGAGAAGGCCATGCTACGAGGTTTCCTTTTTGGTAGAGGTGATTGTGCTCCTGGGTGTGTCGAAGCACCTGGCTTTTGTAGTGAACTGCTATCTTGCACAGAGGTATGATCTGGAGACTGCGTAGTTTGGCCGTTTTCCAGAGGACTCCCGTCCTCCATAGACCCAGATTCCACCACTCTGGAGTCAGGACTATGGATAGACGCAGGAGGACTCGGGTAAGATGTCTCGCTCGGATGGTTATCCATTAGCAAAGATACAACACAACGATCGGCTAGTGAATGCTCGACCTACGCCCTCTGGATCTTAGCAATACTATTCTAGTTTCTTGTGGAAGCTCCTATGATCATACATTTTTGCACGGTTTCCTCCTTCCTTTTGACGTCATGCCGTAGCTGCGCTTTCTCATATTTACCTTGATTTCATCGGGATTGAAGTGGCTGTCTGCAGATTTGACGAACGAAGATTGGAGATGGGGTGGATCTCATTTCAACATTTCGACAGAGGGTAGTTCACACGGTTGAATTCAACAATTTGACAAATTTTTACAAGTTGCTAGGAGGGGCAGTTACCCACTTGTAGATATCCTGGTCTGATGACAAGGGGGCAGCGTGAGTAAATGGATTGGTTGCCTAGTTCTGTTCGCCTGGTTTCAAGGTGAAATCCGTTATCTCCGTCATGATGGCTCATTTAAGAAACACGCAGAGCACACGCAAGGGGCTTGATCCAGCAACTCTTTCGGAGACCAGGGGAGCGTTGAGGAGGCGAAAGATGTGGTCAAATGGAGCCCAGAATTTGCTCCACCTGCGCTAAGGATGGGGTTTTGACCGTAGCATGGCCAATAAAACCCCATTTCTGGCGTAAACCCTCCATATTTACACGCCGAAAGAGTTTATAACACGCTAGCTACAGTAAAGAAGGGAACTATAGTGAGTAACAAGAGCATAGGTTCATTTCTTGTCTCAGGCTCCCGATCCCCTGAGGTCCGAGGAATGATTGGTCCTGCTAAGTATGACAGTCGTTTTATATTGTCAAATCGGCACCTGTGACAGACTTAGGACCTAAAATAGCCAACTTTACTGGCCCGAAGTGGCTCCGATCATTCCTAACCTACGCAGCTGCGTACCTCGCGAAACTGCACTTTGATGGCGGGAGCTGGTTGCTGTGTCGGGTAGCCAATGGTATACCCCTGTTGGTCTCAAGTGTTCACTACCCAACTGCGTAGGTGTTGGAACAAGTGAGCCCAGGCGTAGCGCACCCACTGCCATCCACAATTGGCGCGGCCCACACTGATCTGGGATCCTTGTCGCTATCGAGTTGACAAGCAGCGTCTCACCGCCCCTCCCCTCCGCGGTGGCATTGTATGTTGTGTGTGCCTGACCGTATGATAATACCGCGGTGAAGAAACTCGTGTAACGAGTGATTCCCCTTTGGGCGGTTGCTGCAGGTGGCTGCCGCCCACAGCTACGAGCTTGCTGGTTGCCAAACTCTGGATGGCGCAGGGCAGACCTGTTTGGCAGACTCGACGGCATGATTAGGTTTGGCAAGGCGCTTAGGGTATGCAGCACAGCACCGAAGAACAGCTCTTTAATCATATCACGTATGGTATTAGCCCCCACGTTCGTAAATCCGTACAATAGCCTCTCATTCAGAAGATATCCAACTTCCCGCTGGGGACAAGTTACGTATACTCCAGCGATGGTTGTGAGATCAATGACTGGCTGGAGGGTCCAACGCTTTGCTTTGCTTCATGGAGGCTGTCGCTGAAGAAGTAGAGGCTTCTGACGGCCAGGGTGTGGTTGATTGGTGAGTGGGGGTCCTTCTGCCAAAGACTTAGGCTTTGGCTTGTAGGTCGCTTTCAGACTGCTGAACTTGGGAGTTGTTACCACGTCAAGCCCTGATTCTCTTTGCAAAACCGTCACCTCGTTCGGCCGCCTGTATGGCTCATTGTGGCTTGGGTGCTCGCCATGATGATGGAATCACCGAGGCGAAAAGATCAGTGTATAATCCTCATCATTACTGCTACTGCTACTGCTACTGATTCAGTGAGCGAGTGTTTTCCTACACACTTGCGTACTCGTCCATGAATACGGTACTGGCGGAAATAATTTCCGAGCAACAATTCTGCGTAGCTCCGGCCATCTCATGAATGGCATAGTCGGCATGTGATCTGGCCTTCCCAGTGCGAACTTTGCGAACTCTCCTGCGCCCCAGCGGTGGTTCGTGAGGCTCAAGACGGGCCTGCAGTCAGTCACATACTTGCGCCCCTTGAACCGACATTTCAATCCGGCCGGTGCCCCCGAATCCCCAGCCGCCGCGCCAGCATCCTTTAAGACTGCAGCCTCACCGACTTCAACCAGCCCCTCGTCATCTTTCGATATTTCTTCTTCGTCGGCCGCATTCAAAGCATTTTGTGCAAACGATTAGATCCCATCAACACTTTCAAGCGGCTTTCTCCTCACGTGCCGTCGCTCCTCTCCATGAGGCACAAATGGAGCCAGAGGCGCCAGTGCAAGGCGCAGCGAAGAGAAAATCATGGACTCGAGTAGGCAAAACTTTCTTCCATTGCTTGCCTTTATCCCCCTTCCGAGTGTCGATATTGAAGGAGAGCTTTGAAAAATGATCGTTGCTGTCTCTCCCCCTCGTCCATCCCGAGCGAGTGAGTTGACTTGGGACAGATAAGGGAGAGGCCGACTGAGCTGTTCCGAGAGGCTAGGTCATGGCTCGGGTACCAAACCGGCCGCCTCCCTCCACTGCGCGCAAAGCCAGTGAAGAAATGGAAGCCGAGGAAGTCGTTGAATCCATTGAAACCATCGAAACCGTCGAAACCACCGAAGCCGTTGGCATCTCCCCCAAGTTCGAGTCCGCCGGGAAACAACGATGCAGACATTCAACGCCGCATTGGCCCAATCGAGCCAGACATCCTCGAGACGGACGCCGCCGCGGACGCAGTGGCCGGCGATGAGGATGGCCGGGTGTCTTTCAACGTGATGTCCCAGGCGTGTTCCATCCTTGCATTGGTCGTCGAGAGCCAGGGCCTGGATTTGACCGGCGAGGAGGTCCAGCAGGCCGTCGTTGAAGCGTACCTCCTGTGCACCACCGTGCCCAGAGACCACGGCGACGGCGGCGGCACCGGGGGCATCTCATCGCCATCCAACCTTGCACCGGCGGGCTCCAAGAGCCAAGGTGGAAATCGAGGTCGAGGTCAAAGTCGAGGTCGAGGTCAAGGTCAAGGTCGAGGTCGAGGTCGAGGTAATAAGCGAGGGAGAAGCGAGGACGGCGGGGACGAGGAGGAGGATGAAGATGGCAAAAGGCGGAAGCAACACTGGCTCTGTCCGTTCTACCTTCACGACCCTGTGCGCCACCGCCGGTGTCTCAGACTCACGCTGAGCCGCATCAACGATGTTCGGACGCACATCGAGCGGAACCATCTTAAACGGCCCCACTGCCCGAGATGCGGCCTTCTGTTCAAAGATGATCCTGCCGGCACGGCTCTCGGCGCTCACGTCCGCGAGTGCGAGGAACTGGCGGATTTTGACTACCCCGGAGCGACTCCAGAGCAGTGGCTGGCCATTGCGGCGAGCGGTGTCAATCGCGCCAACGGCAGCAGACGGTTCACATTCCACAACGACGAGGACGAGTGGTTCGCCATCTGGGATATTCTGTTCCCCCTCCCGGGGAGAGCCCGTCCGGAGATCCCGCATGCCCTGTACACCGAAGCGGTGCAGTTCACGCGGGACGCACTCGGAATGTTTATCGAGCAAGGCCACCTAGGCGCGATAGCAGACCACACACTCCCCGAATCCTCGCACCCTGGATATCGTGCCTTCCTTCTTGGAAATATGACCTACTACTACAGGATTTTCATCGACTACGTGGAACAGCTTGAAAACCTTGCCCCCGCGGGGCAATCCGGACCGCAGCCGCCGATCCAGATGCCAACGCCACCGTTACCCAGTTTAGCAGCTCGGAGCTACAACACCGCCGGCAGTAACACCGGCAACCCATACGTGGTGCCCTCGCAAAGCCTGCCTTTGCGAGGCTCCTTCGGCCCCCCAGCCGGGCCAACGTTCGCTGACGCGGGTCATGCTGCTGGTCCGGCACCCCTGCAAGCGAACCCACATACGTCTGTCGACGCGGATGCCGACCCAGGAGGGGTGGATGTGATCGACGAGGAGTACTTGTCTCTGCCGAGAACACATTAAGGCCCTGTCCGGCTCGCGTTTGATATACTACTAAAAAGTCCTCGCACGTGTACTTACATTCCCAAAATACGTAAATTAATACAATTCTATTTGGATTAACGAATATAATTCCTAAAATAAATACATGTAATTCTAGAAGTATAAAAGCCGTCTTATAAAAAAGGGAACTAAAAAAAGGGAAGTAATACTTAATATTAACTCACTTTATATTACTCTCTTAAATATAATATTTTAATGCCTTTTTTTTATAATTAAAGTAATTACTTATAAAATTATTATTTCTTTTATTCGTGAGATATTGTTATATTAGTAGCTATATATAAATCTCCTTTATTTGAATTATATTCTGGCCGAATTAGAAATACTTACTTTAACTTTTTAATTAATTATTAAACTAATAAGTAAATATATATATATATAAACTTTAATTTAAAAGAATTATATAATTAATATAATTTTAATTTTAATTTTAATTCTTTATTTATTATTAAATTCTAAATAATAAGACTTAAAAATCTTTATATTATATTTAATACTTTAGTTTTTTATTATAACTTTAATAAAAAAAGCTCTTATATAATAATATTAATAATTAATAAATTAAAATAAGAAATAACTAAAATTAAAAATAATTAGAATATAAGAATACTTTAAATATTAAAAGAAGAGTGGGATTTTAATTACTTTAAAGAAATAAAATAAAAGAGGGCCTTATCTTTATTATATATTATATAGTACTTTATTGAGCTTCTTTACCTTCTGGAATTAGAAAAGGCGTAATATTAGGCGTAGGCAGGGATTAGCTCGCTTATAATTGATTACTAAAAACGCTAATAGTTACCGAGCCTGCTTTCTGGGACTCCTTTTTAAGCGAGCGGGAAGCGAGAGCGTTCTGGGTACCTAAATTAGTAATATGCGTAAGGCGAGCAACCTCTATTCAAGCCATGCGTATGTGCATAATCTACAGTTACAAGTTTGTCAGAGTAACAGCCAGGCGAAGATGCGAACTCTAGTAATTCGCGATGAATCACGACAAGCCCGTCGAGGATGAAATAGGATCAGCCACGACAGTACTGACTATGGTATGGGTCTTCTCACTCACAAACGCTGATTAGTAGCCTGTCCGAATGCATCAAGCTCCATGAGTAATTAGGGCTCGCAGATCGGAGGGTTTGCTCATGACCAGGGAATGGGGATACGTTCAATTGTACTCTATCAGCTGCAATCTTTGCAGGTATGATCCCACAAGAAAAGCACAGCCTCGTCATCAAGGGCCTCTCACTAACGTCAGTTCGTGGCTTCTCCGCACTTTCGGAATCCCAACAGCCATTGATTTTCATACAATTTCAAAGTTTTTTCGAAATACTCTTTTATTGGTCTGTATGAGCTATTTATACAAGTCGATAGACGGGTCTACTGGACATCTAGGCCGGCTGTACGTAAAAGAGTGTCTCTATCCGCACCATTAAGACTTCTAGAACCACAGTCAACTCAATTCCACACGAGTACACCCATCAACCCCCATTTTCCAATCCCACCGAAGTATGAATCCCCGACACCGTGGGTGTGAGATGAGCAAATGCGAATGCCCGCGGCTCTGCAAAGAATTGAAAAGCGTCCACAATCGGCTTTGGAAGGGCAAGGAGGTCGTTTAGGTAGTCCATAGTCGCTCGACGCTTGGAAGAACCTTTCGGCTGCGACGGCAATCAGTTTAGGCGAAACGTTGAAGAAGATAGGGAGGTCCCACGGGTTTGACAGGCGTCGACTCAGTCACAACTCCCGCGGTCCCTGCGAGATTTATTCCGGCGATATCCTCTATGCCCAATCTCCCATTACCATTCTCCCAAGCCGTGCCATTACCAGCGTTTCCAAATGGAACATAAGTTGCAAGGACGGGTGCATAGGTTGTATACGCAGCGTTTAGGCATCGTGTGAAGTCGGACTCAGTACTAGCGACGAACGGCCATGAGAATGTTGATGTTCCTATCACAGCAAGCACTTCTCTAATCTTTGAGATCCCGGAGACCACAACCTGATCCTGTACTTCATTCCGGAAGACATTTGAGAGAGTCTTGATCTTGTTTGAGGACGCAGAGCGATTCTTGACGACCTGAGGTCAGCTTTGGTGCCACAACCAAGGAGAGTTAAACGAGGTTTACCACCGCAGCAAGCACTCTTTCAATTCCTCGCGGCTGTGGGTCCAGCATTCGGAGCTTTGCAAAATGCTCGCGGGTTGATTTGTGCTGTTTCATGCAAGAAAGAACAGCAACGCGAACAATGCCACTGGAATTTTGGACGGCAAGCTCGCGGCCAAGGTCGAGATCACACAGATATTTCAGCCAGGTGTAGTTGGATGCTTCGGAACGTTCAGACATGTTGGTTTGGGAACAGTTTGGTGACTCCGTCGTGTGGTGTCGGATTCCTTCGTTGTCCCTAGCATTTATAGTCGCCAGGGACTCGAAGAATTACCACGGGTCATTCTTTTGCTCTGCCTGCCTCTAGTCGAGGTATAGCGCCACGCAAAATGCGCCTGATCAACCGGTACCAGCGACGGGACGCTGTGTAGGTACTGGTGACGGAACGCACTGGCGTAGCTACTTGACAACGGCGCGCATTGGCGTAGCTACCACGCAGGTGGGGTACCTTCTGTAACACCGCCCAATCCCCACTAGCGTCATCATCGCAGTCTTTCCCCATCTCACTTCGAAAAGCTAGACAAGCATATCCTCATGGATGCGCGGAGTCCACTTCAATGATTAAACACATAAGGTCGGCCAATGGCTCGAGCATACTACCGCGGGTGCTGCGAGGGCGGCTATCCTGGCGAGTGGAAAGGTGCGAGCGTGGAGAGGAATTCGCTGCTGGTGGAGCTGGAACCCTTGCCTTGTACAGTGGCAATCAGGGCACCTCTTCCTCCCTCTCTCGCGAGAGAGGGACGGTTGGAATATCGATGAAAAACGTGCGTGCGTGCACCATTAATTTCGAGGTTACTGCGCTCAAGGAGGGATGCTCGAAAAGCCTCGAGGTGCTGATGTCTATTTGCATTGTTGCGCGGCCAGCAACCCCCATATCCTCCAGGCATCGTAAGCGCCGAAGTCATGTTTGGGTTCGGTGCGGCTCATTGCGTCTGCTGGCTTTGGCATTAAGTGTACTTTGATGATGTGGGTGGTATTTTAGCATTCATTGACGTCCATATATCAAGGGCCAAATTTCAGCGTCATTATCGCTTAGAGGCATCCGCCAAGGTATCATGCTGACAAATGAGTGTTCGATGGGAAAGGTCAGAAACACCAAGTCCGAGAGTTGTCGGCTGTTGTCATCGTTGTCTTAGTGACAATGCCCAGTGGTCAGATCAGAAGGGCGTTGGCTTACCAAGAATCTGGATATTGGGGTGTAGTGTTCGAGCCTATTTGGAATCTGTCGAGATCATCGTCTGTTTCGGTGAAGCAACAAGCCTGATCGACTCTTGTTTATTATTACGCCCTACTACCCGCCCTTGTAGAGCTGGAGCCTCCGATCATGGACATTTCAGCGGGGCAGAGTTGCCAGAGGATCGCGTTCAAAAGATCTCGAGTGTTTGCAGATGAGAAGTTTGAAGTGATTGCGCAGCCGCTCGTAGATGGATGATGAGTAGGCGGATTCATTTCGCACACGTGATGGGATATTGTTGATCCAAGCTCCACTACCCTCTCACTAGGTGCGCCGAGAAACTTTCTATAAAGTCATTTTTGACATCAAGGGCAGTGTTGTCACTGTTGTGCAGGCTGCTGTCGATAGATTCAAGGTGGAAAGTTTCGTGAACAACCTGTAATATCGTGGAGTAGCTGCGTAGATTTTCGCGAGGACCGGCGGGGAACCAAATGGCTTCTAGTGATCTGTTGGGAAGATATCCATTGTTGCTACCGAAATTTTGGCAGGCTGGCTGCGGCCTAACCTCTGCATATAAGGCCAGTTCATGTCTTGGCCTGTTGGAGGGATCGCGTTGAAGTATGTCTCCGGAATGAAGAATAACCGTCAAACGAGAGTGTTCGCACATTATGAGGACTCAACACATATTTGTTTTCGAGGAGGGATGGCGCGGCAAGGCTACTTCTGCAGATAGCTAACCGCTTACGAGGTCTCCACTAGGCGCATTACGACACAAGCGGGTAGTAAACAAGGCTGTCTCCACGTGGCAGAACTGCGCCAGGGTAGAGGGGCGGGGGAGGGGGTTTCTGGATGAGATAGTAGTCGGCGAGAGCCACGTCACTTGTTACCCACCCTGTTCAAACATTCTTCCTCATAAGGCGGAACTTGAAAATGTAGATCCCTTATCAAAATTGGCGCGCATGCTTTTAATTTTTCTTAGTCCTAAACTAGAAGACAACCACTGGATACGGGCTGATTTAGCGACGCTCGGGAAGAAACTCCAAGAATATAAAAATTCACGAAATCGCAAAATTAATAAAATATCAGGAATTAAATAACCACTAATATACTATAAAACTCCACTTGATAATATCGATATTTATATACTAATAAATGATTCTAATATTGCATTCATTCCACAATTAATATGCGTATAATTATAAATATAAGAATAAGATTTATTTTATATAATTCTTATATGTATTTTTAATTTAAACTTATTATAGTACTTATAATATTGCCTTATTTTTCTTATTACTTCTTTATTCTAGATATTTACTTTAATTCATATATTAAAATGCCTTGCCTAAAGAAGAATTTTAAGTAATTTAAAGAATATATTTCTGATTTATTTAATTAAAATATTATTACAAGATATTTATTAATAAGTAATAAAAGAATAGAATAAATTAGTAAGTTATAAAACTATAATATTAAATTTAGTATAGAACTAATCTTTATTTCTTTTATAAGATTTAAGGAAGCCTTTTTTAAATAAAAAGCTCTAATAATATAAATAGTAATATAATAGTAATATATAAGCTTTATTAACTTTTTTAATTAATGCTTGTAATATACGAGATCTATTATATGTAATTTAGTTATATATAACTTTGTATATATTATAATTATATATAACGAAATTATTAATAAATTATAATATAAATATAACTTATATATTATTATAAAAACTCTTTTAAAGAAACTTATAAAATAAAGAACTAAATTAAAAAGCTCTAATTTTACTTTATTTCCAGAACTATAAGCTCTTATAATATTCTTTTTTTTAATAACTTATATTATAAATATAAATATATTTTATAATATTTTAATATATAATTATTTTAAGAAATATAAAAAATAATAAAACTATAATATAAAATATTAAGTTTAAAAATAAAAGCTAAAAGAAGTAATTATATAGAATATTAAAGAAGTATATAATTAATTAAGGGCTTTAAAATATAATTTAAAATTATAATAAAAGCATTCTTTATATTTATATAAATTATTTATTAAATAATAAAGCCTTTTCTAAAAACCAAATTTAATTAATATAATTAAACTTTTTCTTATAGATTTTATTATATGTTTTTATTAATAGCTTTATTTTTTAATAAGTAAATTCTTTTATTATAAACTTAATATATTTGAAATATGCTAATTAAAATTAAGTTAATAATAAAATAATAAAAACAAAAGTATTAGGTTTATTTTCTTTTAAATAAAAGGCACTTAAGCTTTTAATTAAATAATTTACTTAATAAAAGAAAATTAAATTAATATATATATTATAATACTAATAAGAAATATAAGCTAAAATTACTTTTATTAAAACAAGAAAATAAATAAAGTAATTACTTTAATATAATATTAATATCTTTAATTTTGAATCTAGAGACTTTATTTCTTGCTCTTAAGCTAGCTAAAAAAAAGTTCTCTAAGCAAAATTACTATATCTCAAGTGAATATTTAATTAGTAGCTAATTACGAATTAAAGCCCAATTTTAAGGCTAAAGCTTTATTTGCGAGAAAGAGAAATAAATTAGAGAAAGAAAAGACTTTTAATAATAAAGTAATTAATTTGAAAGCTATTAAAATAGCGTTTTTATTTCTAATAAATTAGCTAATACTCTAGAAGTAATAAAGATAATAATAAAGCCTAGTAGGTCTTATTAGCTAGAAAAAAGTCTATATATACGAGAAAGCATATAAGGTTTAGTAATAAATAAGGGGAGGCAATTCAATTACTAAAAATCTCGTATGTAACTGATTAATTATTCTTAGTGCCATGCGACTATTAATTTATCGTGATTTCGCATATAAAATGCGACCAATTTAATATTAGGGTGGGAAGATCGGAAATTCGCGAGTTTCTTCCCTAGCATTCTTAAATTAAACCGTAACTAGGTTTCGTTTTTCGCTTTTTATACTTTCGAGCCACCTTATTGCAAACTCTGCTTGCTGTTATCTTGAATCTCTTGATAAGTTAAGTTAGCACAACTTTTAGCAACTCAATCCCCCAGCAGCCAGGAGTTCTGGGGCGCATGAGGGCATAAGTGAAAATGGCACACCCAGGATGGCGTTTGCCTTCCAATACAATTCATTTAGGGTGTGACTTGCCCCCAGTCCAATCCCAGCTTACGCCGCGCCCACGGACTGCAAGGCATCCAATACTCTACTCAGTATCCTATTTGCCGAAGTATATCTATTGGTAAATTTGTTTTTAGAGCATACCACACCGTTTTAATGATACAAAAATGTTTGAGAGCCTCGCCGTCCTTGCCGACTACCACTTTAGTCCTCTTGCAGCTGTTTATCTACCCATCCATTTCGTTCTGGGCAAAGACATTAGGCTTTCATGAAGACGAATTGCAAGGCTTTTGGGCTTTAAAATCTGCCCTTTAACAACACCGTATCTATAACAAATCCTTTGTATTGATAAGGTCAATCAACCCAAGCTTGTATTGGTAACTTGCCATCTTTCGTCTTCATGGACATGCCAGGAGCATCGTGGGCTCAGAGACGAGAGGAATTTGCCGAATTCGCGGAATCCCATGATATCGCCGAGCAAGGCTTGGATGTCGAGTTGAGACAGCTGTCCCGGAAACATCAATTCGGGAAGCCTTCTACGAAAGGACATAGCCTAGAGCCGAGTGCCCTCAAAGCAGAGCCCAGGCAGCAAGATACCAACAGTAAATCTATTTTCAAAGCAAATGATGCTTTCTTTATATCTAACAAACAAATTAGTCAATTTCCGCTATAGCCTCTGGCAACGAACTTTGACTTACCTTAGGGGCTTGAAAAGCTATTGCTTCTATAAACAGCCTATCGAAGACTATTCAAAGGAATATCAACGTGGTTACGATCGATTCCAATATCCTTGCTGTGGGTTTATTGCTTTTAAAGAGTAACATTTATTAATTAGATTATAATGGCTGACCCTGCCGCACATAGATTACACGCAGCCATGTGGCTGGCCCCAGATTGCGGCATTTCTCGAGAGCGCTGACAGTTTCGGAATCTACAGAGGTTTTGGTCAGTCTCATACCAGGCTCCTTGTCGCTTATGAGACTGATATAACACGCCTTGAAAATCAAATTCACGAGTTAGATGTTGCCGACGAGAAGTCTGAGGAGGGAGTGCGCCGTCTCATAAGTTCATGCCACCCGGAAGGGTTTGATACTACAAGGCGCGACTTACTAGCCCAACTAGAGCAAAAGCTTCTTTCATATGGTAAGTATCTTGGCACTGTCTTTCGCACTAATCATACATTTGCGCCCGGTCTGATGGCTTCTTACTCAAGGTACCCTGCTGCTCCAGCATCGGCAGATCAAAACTTTGCCTCGGACACCAGAGCAAGACCACAAGAATGTATTCAGATGGATTTGGAGTGAGAAACCGGTAGAAGAAGGGGAATATGACTGGATATATCCTGTAGAAGATTTCGTTTCTCTAGTGCCTCCACCACTCAAGCCGCGCAATCATTTCGAAGCTTTTGTTCGAGCTCATGTCGATACTCGACCGCTGTCGTGGCTAAAGGTTAGTTTTGGGCCTCCCTATTATGTTAAAGCGATCTTTGGCTCAGTGTTTAGAAATTTCTCCAACCTACGAATCACTCCAAACGGTCAAATGCCTCAGTTCATTTCTTTGCCACAGGACGCATAAATATACTTGCCAGGCTCATTGTTGTTTTCTTTGCTGTATCGGTACTTTTCATTCCCGTTATCCTTTTTTTGTTGACGCCAATGAGTAGAGGTTGGATGTCCTGTGTTGTTCTCGTGTTCGTTTTCATCTTTTCAGCCATGATATCGCTCCTTACCGAGGCTGGGATGTCAGATATCTTCATTGGAACAGCCACCTACTGTGCGGTGATTGTAATGTTCTTAGGGAATCTGCAAGGCCCAAGTAGATAATCGCTATCGCGAGACAATAACGGACTCGAGTAGTTATAGTGCCGCAATTTTGTACTACCATAGCATAATATTTATATATATGTGACCGCGAGATTTTGTATTATTGAAGTTAAAAAAGTGCTTAGTAAAATTAAAGCTATATATAATAATATTAAATTATAAAGCTAGATTACTAGTTATAAGTAACTTAAATTCAAAGTCGGCTCTAGTAAGAATTCTTATAAAATTTAGGCAAGTAAGCGAGAATAAATTAAAAGAATAGCTATATTTTAGACTAATAAGTATTAGTAAGATTTATATTTAAATAATATAAAAACTATAACTAATTCCCTAAAGAACTAAAAGAAAATTTCTTAAAATATAATTTAATTAATACTATATTATATTTAATATAAATTATATTAATAATATAGCTAACTTCTTCTAAAATTATAAAAGCTATAATTAAAGTACTTTTTTCTTATATTAAGAATTATTTAATATAGGAAATTAGTTAATAATTTAAATTAAATCTAATAAAAACTAAAAAGAAATTTATTATAATATAATAATATTTTAAATAAAATAAAAACTATAATTAATTTATAATAGAATTAAAAGAAAATATATTTATAATTAATATTTATTCTTAAATATAATTTAAGTTATTTATTTAAAATTCTTAAAACTTCCAATTTAATTTAAATTAAGGTAATAATTACTTAAATTTAAAGACAAATAATAGACTTTAATTAATTTATATATTATTCGAAATTATATAAAGTTATATAAAATTAAAAAAAATAAGCTAATAAAAAAATTATAAAATAATAATTAATTTCTAAAATAAAAGTTCTTATAAAATAAAACTATAAACTTTAATTATTTAATAAAAGCAAAAATAGAAATTTATATAATAATTAAGGAAATTAAAGTTTTTAGTAATAATATATAAAGTTTTTATTAATAAATAATAAATAATAAATAATAAATAATAAATAATAAATAATAAATAATAAATAATAAATAATAAATAATAAATAATAAATAATAAATAATAAATAATAAATAATAAATAAAAATATAAATTAAATAAATAATAAATAAATAATAAATAATAAATAATAAATAATAAATAATAAATAATAAATAATAAATAATAAATAATAAATAATAAATAATAAATAATAAATAATAAATAATAAATAATAAATAATAAATAAATAAATTAAATTAATAAGTTATAAAACTATAATATTAAATTTAATATAAAACTAATTATAATAGGTAGTATTATATAATTAGTTTTAGCTAAAGTTTTAAGCTATAATTCAAATTAAGCTCACTTTTAAAGCTCGGCGTCTTAGTAGTCTTAGCTATATCTACTTATTTACTACTATACCTCATTTTTTTTTCCTCCTTAGCTTTAAATACTTAAGATATTAGAGTTATTAATTTTTGTGTCTTGTTCTATTACTTTGTTTTTACTATTATTATAACGGCAGGAATAAAGCAATGGAACGATGCTCAAAGATCTATAATTCCAATATCCTATAGAATCTAAAGCTAAGGAGAGAAGGAGTGAGGTGTGGCAGTGGATAAGTAGGTATGGCCAAAACCACTGAAACGCCAAGCTTTGGAAGCGAGCTTGGTTTGAACCATAGCTTGGAACCTTAGCTAAAACCAACCCCTTTTGCTAAAACCACGTCCGTATTAACCATGTGACACCAGCCGTCACATTACCCCCCCCTCCAGAAAGCTTGTCCCGAGCGCTAGTAAACAAAGGGAAAGCTAAAGCGAGTATAGTAAAAATGACAAAACAAAGGAAAAGGACCCTATTTCCAATCGCCAGCCGCAAAATCAGCCCTCTATACGCGGTTAAAAGCCGGATCCAAGGTTGGCCCTCCTCCAGAATCGCCAGAATCGCTACCAGAATCAGAGTAATGGTCAATTGCGGCAGTCGTAACCCATTTGTAACCAGAACCAGTAGAAGCAGTGCTTGCAGGAGCCAAGCTATAGTTCTTGATAAAGTGATCCTGGGATCCGCATCTGATACATCTGCCGGTTTGATGATAATGCTGGCGGAGCTCCTTTGAGGTGGAACGAGCTGGTATAGCTGGTGAGATTGGCTCAGAGGACTCCAGAGTACTAATTGCCGGTGTAACGACGTCAATTGTTAATTCGCTGACGTCCATAGGATCGCTAGCAATTCTGGGAGTAGTCTGGTACGGCGGAGCGGCTGTTTTTGACGAGAGCTGCTGAACCGTACGCAGGAAATCAGCGTAAACCCGGGGCAAAGTCAACTGTTGGGCTAAACGAGAGCGAATTGCGGAGTTAAGGCCATTGCGAAAGCTGGATATTTTATTAATATCTGGCCAGCTTTGGCCATTCGCTTCGTACAGGGTGCGTTCAAACTTGGCAATATAGGCAGGAAGGGAATTATTGCCTTGGCGGAGGGTATAGAGCTTATCTTTAGCCTCCGATTACTTGTTTAGATTATCGTATACCCGTGAAAGCTAATCCAGGATCGTTTGGTAGTCCCACGATTAAGTGTGCTCTGCATAGGAGAGCTGTGGCAGAACCATTGATTGGACAGAAGACTCCAGATTGAGGTAAACGTAGTAAAACTGGGCAGTGGAGTCCCTAATTGCCGATCCATTGACAGAGAGCTTGGCCTTGATTGACGGGAGCCAGGTATCGAATCTGTATATACTTCCAGTGAACTTCTCAGGGTCAGGGAGCTTCGACTTTTGACTGGATTTCACCGTGGCCGTAGAGGCAGTTAACTGGGCTTGGGTACTAGCGAGGGCAGCTCGCAAGGTAGTGATTTCAGCCCGTAAACCATCGAACTCGCATTGAACTTGCGTTTGGAAGGTGTCCATTCTCAAGGGAGTGTTGGTAAAGTTAGTAAAGTTGGTAAAGAGGTAAAAAAAAAATCAATGAGGTGGTGAGCCAGGGGCTCTAATAAACAATGAGGGATTGAGCTGGCTAAAATCGAGCTTTTTGACACCTCGCGGGTAGAACTGTGGGCAGTGCCACGTAATAATGACAATAATAATAAGGGGGCTCCGCGTGAAAGCGGGCTGGTGGACAGGAGTCCCAATAAACAATAATAATGACTACCGTCCGAAAGGTAGGAGCTTTAGATTATGTAACGGCAGGAATAAAGTAATAGAATAATACTCAAAGATCTATGATTCTAATGTCCTATAGAATCTAAAGTTAAGGAGAGAAGGAGTGAGGTGTGGCAGTGGATAAGTAGGTATGGCCAAAACCACTGAAACGCCGAGCTTTGGAAGCGAGCTTGGTTTGAACTATAGCTTGGAACCTTAGCTAAAACCAACCCCTTTTGCTAAAACCACGTCCGTATTAACCATATAATACTAGCCGTTATAATTATACTAATCTTTATTTCTTTTATAAGATTTAAAATAACTTCTTTTAAATAAGGGCTATAATATATATAATTAGAAAATTATAAGCTTAAAACCTATAATATAAATAGTAATATTATAATAATATATAAGAATTACTAATTTCTTTAATTAATATTTAAGATTTATTATATATAATCTTATATATATAATATTAAAAATTAAGGGCTATATTTCTTTATTTTTAAATAAAGATATAATTTCTAGAGTTTTAAGAAAGCTTGAGCCTTTTAAAAAAAATTATAAGACCTAGTTTTATACTTTTATATATCTTTTACTCGATTTTATATCTTTATTAATTAATAGATTTTTAATTAAGTTATAGTAATCTATAATATTATACTTTTAAATAAGAATTAAATTAAGTTCCTAAATAAAGAAAACTATAATACTTGAATTATTAATATAAGAATAAAGCTATAGTAGAAAAAGCTATAGATAATTTACTAGACTTCTTTTTTTAATAGTACTTTTATAGCTATAAGAAAGAAATATATTAATATTACAAATATTCTTATTTTAACTTTCTTTAAATATATTAAAATCAAGCTAATAAAGACTAAGAAGAATAATAGTTACTTTCTTTAAAAGAAGCTCAAAGCTCTTTTTATTTCTATAAAAAATTAGTTATTTTATATCTTTTTTTATAAGCTATTTTCTTTTAAACTTAATAATAATAATTTAAAAGAATTTATTATATATATTAAAGTTCTTAATCAAAAGATTAATTTCACGGAAATAAAGATTACTATTAATTATTATACTTTTCTTATTTTTATAATCGGTTTATTTATAATATATAATACTTTAATATAAATTTAAAATATAATATTAAATAAAATTATAATAAAAAAAATATTAAAAATACTATAAACTAAAAACAAGAGAATAATAAATAAGAAGTAAAATATAGTAGGGTTATTAGTAAGGGAACCTTATATAAATATAAAGGAAGTAAAGAGAAAGGCTAGAAGAAAGCTTATATAAGAAAAGAATAATAAATGCCTTTTTTTCTGGCCTATTTATTTAAAGTACTAATAATAATATTTAGAAGTCTATTAGGTAAATATTACTTGTAATATTTATAAAAGAAAAGAATATTTAGATTATAAGTACTATAATAGAGAGCCTTAATCTTTTATTATACTAGTAATTCAAGATATAAAGAAAGGTATTAGGGGATTTACTTTAGTTTTTAATTTAAAGTAATTAGTTAGTTAATTAATTACCTAAGTATTTAGTTATTTAATTAGTTAATTAGTTAATTAGTTAATTAGTTAGTTAGTTAGTTAGTTATTTGGCTACTTACTTGGGTAGTTATTTAATTAATTTAATAGAAATAATAATATTTGTTCCTAAAAAAAAGTATTAAAAATCAGGAATTATATTTCCTTACTTTTAAATAAAGACGTAAATTCCAGAGTTTTAAGAAAGCTTAAGCCTTTTAAAAAAAATACTATAATTAAGCTTTAATTTAATATATAATAAATAATTATTATATTAAAGTAAGTTTTAAAAACCTTATTATTAAATTTTATATTAAAATTGTTTAAGTTATTAGTTTATAATAATATAATTCTTACTTTTAGCTTTTAATATAATAATTTAATAATAATAGCTAAAGTAATTTATTATATTTCTTAATATTTTATATAGCTTAATTTTATAATAAATTTAATAAATAATAAAATACTTTTAACTTTAATATATCTAAAGTATTTAAAATAAAGTTTACTAAAGCTAATTATATAAATAATGAATTTTGTTTAAATAAAGAAAATATTTTAATAATACCTTTAAATAAAATACTTATATTAAATAAATGAAAATTAAAAAATATATAAAAAATATATAAAAATAAAAAAGTGCGAAATAAAAGCAATATTATAATTATTTAGTAGTTAATTATTAATTAATTATTTAATAATTATTACTAAGCTTATAATATAATATCTTTTATAATTTTAGCTTATAAGCTTTATAAAATAAGTTAAAATATAAATTTATAAAGCTTTTAAAAAAACATTAAATAAAATAAGTTATTACTCTCTATTATTTAAATCATTAAGAGTTAAAGAGAGAGAATGAATATTTTAAGTAGCAGTAGAGGCTTAGAGAGGGGTCGGCAGGGCGAGGGGTGGAGTATAAGTGCGGGCGAATTTTACTAAGCTAAACGGTAAATAGTGAATGCGAAATCACGTTTCTCGCTTGGTCTTTTGATCCTTACGGCTTTCCGTAAAGGCTAGAGCCTTTGTTGGGAAAGACGTTCGAGAGTCAAGAGATGAGGCGAACGCGGCGATGATAAGCGGCATCGAGCCGACAAGGAGCGCTATCTGTGACCCCCCATACACCAATACGAGCGATTTCCCAATCGGGGCCCCCGATTAGGGAATCGGACGCTACGATTAGGGAATGGGAGCTTCTTTACGAATCGGGCGTCCGATTAGGGAATCAGGGGCCCGATTGCCCAATCGGGTAATATTTGGGTATCGGGAATAACAAAATGAGGATATATTAAAGATACTTCACCTATACTAAGCTTTACTGGCCATGCCTCCTACTACGTCTAGGTGCTCCTATAGCTACCTTAGCCCTTTTTGGTGCCCTCCCCTCTACTTAATTACCTGATTCTCCTCCTCCAGCGTCATCCTCACGTGCTTGCTTAGTAGCTACTCTCTTCTTTGCTCTCTCAGATACCCTTCCAGCCTTCTGAACTAACGAGATTAATCTACGGCTATTTTCCAAGGTAACTGCCTTTGGTAAGGTAATCTTATCCTTTTTGTAAACTGTCCCAGTAATAGGTAATTCAAAATAAGTTAATTGGGAGATAACTTTATTAAGGGTACTATATGGCCAGAGAGTAGTAAGTTCACCATACTTGGTAGTAAGCCGGTATCCCTATATTTATTAGCTTTAGTAAGTATATTTATATAGGGTATATACCTTTAAAGTTTTCTCTAGAACTCTTACTGGTATCCTTGCCATCTCCGTACTAAATTAATACTATTTTGGTATCTGAAGTATTATAATCTCTTAATCGGTATACTTAAGAGCCTTGGAATTTGCCTTCTTTACTATCTTCTCTTACTGCTTCCTTATATACTCCGTAATCCTCTTGGTTAGTTCAGATAAAATTATCTTCTCTACCGCTTCCTCTAGTTCAGCTTCCTAATTAATAAATAAGCTATCCTTATTCTCTTTATCCTTCTCTCCTTTAGTAATCTCAATTATAGACGATTCTCTAGAAGCACTACTCTCATTCCCCCCCCCCTAGTACCGTGTATATACGCCGAGCGTTCCCTTTGTGGTCTTGAAAATTGGTAGGTGGCTTTCGTCCAAACCATATCTCATATGGCATATTACCCTTAGGTAAAGTAGAGATAGAAGTAATATTAATAACCCATATAATTAATGGAAGTAATTATATCCATGATTAAATACTAGTATCCGCTCGTATAGCTCGCAGGCGCCTTTTGAATATGCGATTAGTAATCTCAATAGAGCCTTGTAATTAAGGATAGTAAGCTCGTCTACGGATAATCTTTATCCCTCTTTGCTTATAAACTTCAATGACTTTGCCTTTGAACTCTTCTCTATTATCGCAGGCTAGGATAGAGATATACCTATTATTATTTAGCTATTTGATAAGCTTGTCTATAGCTTTATCTGCAGTTTTAGCCTTGAGCCTACGGATCCAAACGAACTTGGAAAAGTGGCATTTCAATTGCCAAATCTACGTATATTCTCCGTCCAAATCATGCTATAATAGTATTAATAAAGTATAGATAAAAAGGTTCGGAATTCGCGAAAATTACAGGAAAAGCTCAAAAACGCAGGAAATATAGGAAATACAGGAAATACAGGAATATAGGGGTAAATTATATGACTTAAGGGACACTTATACGGAAATCTATTAAATCCAGAACCATACGCTAGCCTGGATAATGAGATTGGATAGGCTATACTCCCGTATTATTCTTTTGAGCCTTCTCTTTATTATAGTAAGTGTATTATATACTTATCCACGCATGATCGTTATAGGATAGGCCATACCAAATTTTCCGTATATGCTCAAATATAGTATTAGAGCCTATTTTTTAATTAGTATAAAAATTAGTAGCTTTTAGAGGGTACTAACCAGGGTATATTAATTTCTCATGGATAGTAGTAAGAATCTCAAAAGCGTCGTTATAGCAAACGGTATACCGGGCGGGAATAAGCTCTCTACGTCAATTATCGTGGTATCCCTTGCGATATACCTGGCCATCCTGAAGCTTATAGAGAAGGGAATCGTACTTAATATTAGCCTGGTAGTGTTTCTCTGCCTTGGTTCCGCTAGGAAGCGGAACATTAGGATTTTGTAATTACTATCTGATATCCATACGTTTCCTAGTAGTAAGAATTTTCTTACTACCCCCCTTAGCAAGCCTCTGATCCCATGCAGCTCCGTCTTTAGCAGACCAATTATTAGTAGGCTCTTCAGTAATAGGGGAGGGTAAAAACTGGGTGCCGGAAGAACGAGCCCCTGGAGCAGTAATATTAAAATATTGCTCTGCTCTCCCATAAGTACGCTAACGAGGCGTACGTGGGGATAGGGATGAACGAAGGGTTGAAAGAGACATATTAGAAGTAAGGTAATTAATTGAGAGGTATATAAAATCAGTGGTTATACTTGGAAAGTTAGTGCTTGTGCTGTGAACTGTGTCTAGGTAGTAAGGGAGCAGAGGCCCCATACATATTTGGGAGCTCTGGAGAAGTGTCTTTACCCCTATTATTACCTCCTTTAATATCTTAAATTAATAAATTAAACTATAACCTATAGAATCAAGATATGAGGTGTGGTGGAGTAAAGAATATAGGGCTGAATGAGCTAGTAAATAAGGGGAATTCAGCTCCTTCAGGCCCGATACCCAAATATCGAGCGATTGGGAATCGGGGGCCCGATTCGTAAAGAAGCTCCCATTCCCTAATCGTAGCGTCCGATTCCCTAATCGGGGGCCCCGATTGGGAAATCGCTCGTATTGGTATATGGGGGGTCACATATCCAGCACCGACTTCAGAATATATCAACAACAGCGGTGAGGGTTGCTATCGGGAGGATCAATTGAAGGACCACATTCATAGTGCCCACCCTGAAGTCAAATAGAAGAATAACTCTGAGGTAGCAGTCTTGATCAAGAGTGGGCTATGGAATTTGCGGCCCTACATGAGGGGAGCACAACTTGTATTTCCGTCCCAATTCTATGAACAATCGCAGTCCTATGAAAACCCACCAATGGATAAAATCACCTGCGCAAAGCTTGAAGGTCCTACAAGGACAGGACAAATCTTTGCAAAATGATAATTGATTGCCAGCGCCATCGCCGTTACATCTCCATTTCCTTGAAACGCATCAACCATCAGGACGTTGGGATACTGCTGACTGCTCATCCGGTTCCACAGAGGAGCCCATAGGGCCACTTTAGCTGTCGCCGCCAAATCGAGGATGCTGGCGAAAGCTGGATTGAGTATGTCTCGAGTCGCCTGAGTCAAGGTCCAGGAGAGAAGAAACATTTCTGATTCGGGATCCTGGCGGTTCTCTAGCATTTTTTGAAGCTGGTCGTTAGTCATTACATCCAATTGATCGGTATCTGTGTAATTGTTATAAATTGGCAGTGCACTGTCTTGGAAGAATCCAGCTTGCGCAACAGTGGAGAGATCTACGTTGCCGCCGCCTTTGACTTTGTCTCTAACAATAACGACCACGGCTGGTCCGGTTTCGATAAAGTCCGAAATTGGCATGACGGAAAGGTCCCCTGAGGAATCGAAGCCATTCAAGCGATGGTTGAGCTGTAGCAGGACAGTCATGAGGTCGTTCCAATTTTCTTGAGTGAGGTGATTGTTCATGTCCCCATCGAAATTGTCAGTATCCAGACCATGTGACAGATCGAGAATGATCAACTCATTATTGCTGGCTGTGAAATTGTTGACCTGTTCAATGATACTAGTGATACTCTGCCCATTACCACCCAGCCACCCTAGGATTTTTCCCCAGCTATAATGTCCAGTCGCCCAGTGTCCACCGGCAATCACTGGGCGGACATCAAAGTACCTTGCACCAGCCCGTAGCTGACCGCCAATGTCCAGTGTCTGCGTTTGCACGTTTGTAGGACTCGCTCCTCCCCTCCCTCCATTGAATTGGGACATTCCAGAATCATGACTACCAGGCATAGCCAGTTCTCTCAACGTGAGACACTCTATTCTGTCATAGCTAGCTTGCATCCAAGCTTCGGCTGGGTTCGTACCGACAAATGTCGCCGACGACAGATCCGTATCCGAGCTGGCGAGGATGAAAGGCGCATCTTGGTTATGAGTCCAATCTAGAGTGAGGGTGGCACCAGTAAGGCTGGAGATAGTGTGAAAGGACTCGTTGTATGAAACTAAAAGAGGCCCTGTTCCGACGCCATAGTCAGAGCGATAGAGTATCTCGAATTCAAAATCAGAATCGTTGTTGATTGCGTAGAGGGCTTCCGCCCCATCGTCTCCCTCAGTGACTCCTCCTTGATCTTCCATGTAGACTCTGGCTGAACCACCTGTCATTATTCTCAGTCAGCATGTCATTATACTTGGATTGAAAAAAGCTGGTAAATAGGGGTTAGTCCTACCACTCTCCACTACGGCTGGAAAGTCCCACGTGTTCATCTGATAAGAATGCTGCCCAGCGAGTTGAAATGGCCAGGGCGTTGCATTTATGAGCAGAATATACGATCCAATCCCCATTATAGAAGTTTAGCTCGAGAATGCCTTCGGTGATGCGAGATGGATCAAAATCCTGGACGTCAAGTTGATAGTAAAGCTTTTCCGATCAGGCCGAATTTTGCAAAGGAGTTCCGAGGTGTCAAAGGCTATCGCGCTTGGGGCGGCCCTTGAGGCTAAGCAGCTCGACCACGTAAGTTCTACTCATTGGTTGTTCAGAGATGACAAGAGTGTCGCACAGTGGCATGTTCAACCGAGCTCAAGATCAACCAAAGACTACCTATCACTTGAAACAAAATCTATTTGCGAACCTCATGCTAAGGATTAGCTAATCGAAGCTCAATACGGGCACAGGAGGTTGCATTATAACCGCATTAGTGGCACTACTCTTCCCGCCACCAGCGCTTCTAACAGGCGTGGCAGGTTTCTTTTCAGAGGTTGATATCTAATGAGACGGAATTTTACGACGCGCAAATGTATGACACGATGGTGAGGCATTGTAAAATTTGCATTGCTCTGTGAACGAGGTCAGGGAGGCTCTGGTTCCCGAAAACGAAGTGCGCTGTGATTAGAAAGGTAAAAGGGTCGTAAGGTTCTATTCTAAGGCTTGATCGGTCCCTATACTCGAGCTCTCGCTTAAATGCACGGTATCAAGAAAAGCAAGTCTCGAACTAATTAAATAAGTCGGAAGAAGTTTTCCTTCCCCAACTCTCTGCTTCGCGTTACCAGCGCCGCCATTACACAAGCTCAGCCCAGGCCCGACTCACTTGAGCTCCGGTCTGCTCAGGTCTGCTCAGGCCTGCTCATCCTGTTTACGCGACATAGTACGCGTAGTCAAGATCCATCTCACTAGAAATCATCAACTTTTGATGAGGGTCCCGAAAGGGCTCCCCTTTTCTAGCCAGCGATTCTACATATATTATTACTATCCATTCTTAATCACACTAAAAGACCTTGAGATAGAAATATGGGATGCTATTTTCTTTCAATATATTTCACTAGCTGCGTATTCTAAATATGGCCATCTCCTCTTGCAATCGCATCTTTCCTCTTCTATCCTGTCTTCTCTCTTCTCTCTCTCAACCTTCTCCTATCTGTCTAGTAAAGACGTTTCTTTCTCGTTTCCCCTTCGGAGATTTATATCCGCACATGCAGGGATCTACAAAGTATAAGCACCATAGACAAGTAGACAGAGGCAGTTCTGAAGGATGGACTCTTCACAAACAAGTTCAGGATCGAAAGCAACCCCATTTATAGAAGGCTTTGTAAAGGTAGTAAAAGGCAGTATAATAAAATATAGGGATTTTAGAATGTGTATTTTACTTTCTCCGTTGACCCCAAAAAGCTCGACAGCGGTACCAAGCGCCAGCAATACAATGATCCCTCTAAGCACAACCACTGCACCTGTTGTGGGTACAACCTCGGCACCAGGGAGTACTACTGGAGGAGTTAAACAAAGCCAAACATCGAGCAAAATAAGTGCGAGCGCAGCTGCTGCTGCTGCAAACCAGATTCTTGCAGCTAATGGCGGTGTTGGTGAGCTGGCGGCTCTCATAGCTGGAATGGTGGGGATAATGTGAGGAAGGTTTAAGTGATCATTCTAATCTCTTGAGGATGCGGGGATGCAGCCGAACATTTACGAAGAAACGGAAGGGAATGTGAGATGAAAATGAATTTTGATTTGATGCATTGGTAAAGAATATTTCCTGGTAAGGAAATCTATCTGCCCAATATCGTCCTGAGAACATGAAGCAACTTCGCTTCCGGATCGCAGATCATAGTATTGGAACGCCAAGCAACAAATCTATCAGGTCTGACAAGCACTCATCCAGCTTCCTCTATCTCTCTCCTTTCAGCCCAATCAAAATAGACATCTTCGTAGTCCTGACTCCATCCAATTGAATATACTCTAATCTCGATATCCAACGAGCTACCAGCTTTGCCAGCAGCGGCCTTCCACTTCTCTCCGCCAACGCCGGTAAGAACGCAGAAAGAGCCATGTCCGGCAAGATCAATTGTCGAGAGCTGTTTTCCTGGCAGCTTCGTGTTGAGCCATGCATGTGGGAGTCTACTGCCAGGGAATGTGGTGATTTCGTGCTCGAGGACTGGATCCACCGGCAAAGGTGGTCGAGCTTGTTCATCAATAAGATAGACAGCCTCAGAGATGTAACGTTGATTCATCTCGACTCCAACACCATGGAACTCATGAGCCGTGCCTTTGATAGCAGCCTGGAGCTTTGCCCTTCTAGCAACACCTTCAGGTGTTGCCTCAGACAGTTGTCCGAAATCCTTCTTGCGAACTTCTAACGATGGATCCATCATACCGAGGGCCTCCCAGACTGGCACATGATCACGAAGACCTTGATTCGCTCGAGTGATAATCGATGCTCCGACAGGTTGTCTTTCTAGACTGTAAGAGTCCAGGAGGCTTGGACCGGCTTTGCCTTTCATGACATATGCAATTTTCCAGGCCAAGTTGTATGCGTCTTGGATACACGTGTTTGATCCAAGGCCATTCAGTGGAGGGTGTCGATGAACCGCGTCACCAAGGCAGAATATGTTGCCATCCGAGTAGTACTCGGCAACAATCTCGTTGATAAGCCACTTCGAGACACCAAGAATTTCCAGAGGAAGAGTATCATCGCCAACAATAGTCTTGGCACATGATAGATATTCTTCAGCCGTAGGGTTGAATTCGGTGCCAGCACCTGGTGCAGGGAAAAGAATGAACATCCACCTAAAAATATTAGCAGATGCGTATGCAAAGAGGCAGGCAATCCTACTCGTTCCAAGGTTTCACCATTCGGACAATACAGCTCCAGCCAAAGACAGGCGACTCCTCATCGGGGCGCATTACCCAGTGAAGATTGCCGCGTCGATTCTCAACAACATGCTTAAGATCCACTTTGACCAAAAGATTGATAGCAAGACCCTGCCCAGGCTTCCGGATCAAAGGAATCTGCAATTGCCGAAGCACCTGACTTCGAGCGCCATCACACCCAAACAAGTATTTCGACCGTATCTGATATACTTGTTTTGTGAGGTTGTCCTGGACTTTGCTGATGATTGTTCCACTAGGCTCGCGCTCAAACGCAAGGAATGTCGTTTCAAATCGACACGAGAAGGCGCTGTGGGTTGCATGCTGGACAAGGATAGGCTCCAACACGGTCTGAGGGATATCGCAATGATCACAAGGTGATGCAGCATCATAGTCGCCCTGCCTAATTAATACCGTGCATATTTAACCTTAGCGATCTGTGGCTTCACTCACAGCCCTGTGCGGATCATTTCCCCACGAATAGATCCTTGCAAACTCCTCGCCAGCCATGCTGCGACACCACCTTGTATGTTGCATGCTTTCGCCAGGCACAGCGACTTTCAAGCATGCTTCTTCCAGGCCAATGTCTCGCAAACACTCGAGAGCTGCCATGTTGGTTATGTGTGCTCTTGGCGTGTCTGCAGTACTCGGAGTCGACGCAACCATTATTCCCTTCAAGCCTGGGAGTAGGTCAACACCAAGCTCTGGAGGTCATGGAGAGGTTTTACCATTCTGCGCCAGGAAACATGCCAGGGCAGCACCTGCAGGTCCTGCTCCGATGATCAATAGATCTGTCTCGACACTGACAACAGATCCATTTTGCAGCACATCTGGAGCTTGGCTCTTGCGCTTGCTCTCTGCATAGGGGCAGGTGGTCTCGAATTCAGCCATGGTGACGCGCTTGAAATATCAAGGAGGACTGCGGGAGAAGCAGAAAATCTGCCACTGGCAGATTATTTCGATCATATTGAAGACGGGGCAAGTCACGGATTTACGTGATGCTTTCCAATGGCGTGGAATGGTGGAGTGGGAGCTGGAGAGGGGTGGAGGAGCTGGATTGTTTTCGGAACTTCTTGTGGGATGTTTCCCCCGCATTACTTGTCCCACATACCCATATGGCAAATCCAGGTCACCGTAGTCGAAGTTTGTCCGTCTGCGGGCTAATTCCTACAACATCCATCCCTCCATCCACCCACATCCATCCACAATCACGCAGCTTCTTCCACTCGAACCATCCGCTCCCACTCCTTGACCCGATGTACTCCGCAATACCCTCACTGGAATCGAGGATGGCGACCACTGTGCCCCAATTGCAGCCGCACGAGACTGACGCCATTACGTGAAGATATCCACCTCAGACTGCCGGAAGGCCGCCGGCAATCCTGACCTTACGCATCTTGCTCGCCTATTCTGCCACCAGCACGAGGTCTACAAGAAACGTCCGGATATAAACACAATCTGTTGCCCTTTCCCTCTCGTGGTCAGTTCATATTCGCCCATCTGCTATCATGTCGCCGTCAGCAGCGAAGCAGAAGATCATTCTCAAGCGAATTTCCCATGTGTACTACCAGCATAAAGACTTGGTTCAAGCAGACAAGTTCCTCCTCGATTTTGGTCTCAGTCCTGTTCAGCGGACTGAGGACAAAATATACTATCGTGGCTATGGGACAGAACCATTTGTACTATGTGCCTCCCAAGGGACGGAAGACAAATTCGGTGGGACGGGTTGGGTGGTAGAATCTATGAAGGATCTCGAATTGGCGACTTCCCTACCTGGAGCAACGCCGATTCATGATTCAGATGCTCCCGGGGGAGGAAAGAAGGTCACTTTTTATGACCCAGTCGACAATTTCCCGTCTCATCTGGTCTATGGTCAAACTGCCGTGGACATTGCAGAAACATTCCCAGAATTGGCGTACAATTTCCCCACAAGCAAGAATCGACCAGTGAACAAGACACAGCGGTTCAAGAAGGGTCCTGCTCCTATCCACAAACTTGGGCACTTCGGTCTTTGCGTCACCGATTACAAGAAGGCCTTTGAGTTCTACACCTCGAATTTCAACTTCAAGCCCAGCGAGCTCGTCTATGCCCCAGACACCAAGGAGGACATCACGACCTTTCTGCATCTTGATCGAGGATCGGAATGGGTTGACCACCATTGCTTTTTCTTCTTCGGAGGACCGAAATTTCACGTCCATCATTCCAGTTTCGAGGTCTTTGATTTTGATATACAGATGCTTGGACATACCTGGCTCACAGAGAAGAAATACGAGAACTGTTGGGGTGTTGGGCGGCATGTGATGGGAAGTCAAATCTTTGATTATTGGTTCGATCCAAGTCGATTCATTCTCGAGCATTACGTTGATGGTGACTTGGTGAACGATGAAACTCCTATAAATCGAACCATGGCGGCACCGGATAACTTGCACGTCTGGGGTGAGTGTATGCCGTATTGTCCTTGACATCTACTAACGTTTTGTAGGCCCCGATGTGCCGGAGACATTTTTAGCATAGATGACTGCTTGCAGAATTATCTTTTATAGAGGCATTTCCTGCTATTTCCAGTTTCTCTAGATCTATATACAACATGCATTGTTTTGTTATTCTTCCAAAATTGCCTGCTAGAAACAGTCCATAGTCCTTCTGACATTCTTTGAGATTTGAATGTAGCATAATTATTTACTCTACCTTGCCCATTTAGAATACGACGCTTTGTATCTAAGGACCATTAATGTATATCGCGCTTATCCGCACGAATGTTTGTTTATGCAGATGTTCAATTCAAGCGTACGAGCTGATACACAATGTGATAGATCTCAATTTATACAGCATCTTCGACATCGTCTCCATTTGATGCCTTATGGTGGACGAGCTCAGCCAGAGCTTGTGTTTCAACTTACAATTTCAGCCAAGGATCAGTCGCATAGCGTCAATGAAAGAGATAAGTCGAAGCAGAGATATGGAGTTCGCCTCCGAAGCCTCCGGGGATGCGAGAGTGACAATGCGGGCCAATTTAATTGCTCCGCGACCCCCGACCCCACCTCCCACTCTTCCAAGTCCCAGTGCTGGTCAAGTTGACATCCTTTCCTAACGATCCACCAATGACGACTTGTTCATGATCAGAATCTAGCATATTCCACCCACGTTTCCAATAACGCTTCATCGAAAAATTATCATTCTTTACGTCCTAGACTTCACCTGCCACGTTCCCTGCCATACATATATCAAGATGGGTGTCACGAACTTCGTCCGATTTGAAGATGACCAGCGTAATGTTTTATACGGAGAGGCTCATGCCTCAGCAGTTGGCGGCAATTTGGAGGGAGCCTTAGTGACGGTCCTTTCTGGAGATCCGTTTAGTGGCTTCACATCAACGGGCGAGAAATCCATGATCAAAAAGGTTCATCACAACCAAGGTTTTTAAACCAAATGCTTACTAGTTCAGCTTCTCTGCCCCCTCGAAACAACACCAATCATAATGTGCATTGGTTTAAACTATGCGCGCCATGCAAGAGAGGCCAATGTAAGACTTTCAGAACGGAACAAGGTAGCTGCGGCTTACAACGTTTCTTTTTAGCTCGCCGTCCCCTCAAACCCTGTGGTATTCACCAAACCCGCAGACGCCATGGCCGGACCTTACGACGATATCCCAATCCATCCAGACGCCCAATCCCAACTCGACTACGAAGGCGAAATGTGCGTGATCATCTCTCAAGACGCAAAGAATGTTTCCGAAGCCGATGCCCTTTCCTACGTACTCGGCTACACTGTAGGCAACGACGTGTCCGCGCGCAACTACCAACTCCCCGCCTCCGTCTCCGGGAATCAGTTCTCGTACGCCAAATCTTTCGATTCCTTTGCGCCGATTGGCCCTACCGTTCTTCTTGCTCCCGGGGTGGATCCCCAAGCGCTGAAATACACGACGAAAGTCAATGGGGAAATCAGACAAGAAACAGGCACTGATGATATGATCTGGAGCATGAAGCAGATTATTGCTCATTTGAGCCGAGGTACCACTTTGAGGAGGGGAACGCTGATTATGACGGGTACGCCCAGTGGGGTTGGCTTGTTTGTTGAGCCTAAGGGAGCGGGGTTTCTGAAGGATGGGGATGTGGTTGAGATTGAGCTTGAGGGCATCGGTGCTATTAGGAATAGGATGGCCTTCGAGAAGTAATGCTAAGTTGAATCTGACTAGTCTGTTCGCTCCTCCTCCAATGCTTATAAATCATACAACTATCCTTGCAAGTTGCCTGAGGAAGGAAATGTATTGGAAAGTGATCGATTTATTAATGGAAAATCGATACATTAGAGTTTGACAGTCTGTAAAATAACTAGATATAGGAGAGTGAAGTCTAAAAGTAGAGGAGAAAGTGTCTAAAGTAAGGGTCTTTATTCTTATTATCTATTAGTAATATTAATAACACCGAGCCCGCTTTCTCTAATATATTATAAATTAGCTAATAAATTAAAAGTAATTAAAAGTAATTAAAATAATAATATATTAATAAATTTAATAAATTTAATAAATTTAGTAAATAATATATAATAAATAAAAATAAAGAACCCTAAATTAGTAATTAAATCTAATACTAAAAGAACTAGTAAACTAGTACTAATTTAATATATTTCTTTTTTATAATCAAGGTTTACTTGCAGGCATTTCTGTATCCGGTTTAGGCTAGCTTGCTATACTCGCTAGTAATACTAATTCCGATATCCTAGTAACTTCAATATTGATTTTTTAGTTTATATATTAGATTAAAAAATAACTACTCATCTAATTAAGATATTTTTTTTAATATAATTATAGGCTATAATAGACTCTATAATTATATAATAGAACATTTTTTCGTATAATTATATAGTATTATACTATAAATTAAAACGTGATTTTTTGAATTCTTTTTAGAGAGAACTTGCTTAATACTAAAGCCAAAAAATACTAAAAATTATAAAGTATTAATTATATTAATTACTAATTTAACTACTAAATTATCTACTAAATTAACTATTATACCGAAAGCCATATATCGAATATTGAGAAAATAGGTTAAAGAGCTTACTAGAAGGCTCCGAAAGATACTAAAGTATAAAACGAAGCTATATTTAGAAAAAGAGGCTCGAATATAAGAGGCCCTAAAAATATACTATAACCTATCCCAAACCGAAATTACTAGCTTATAGATTATAGTAGGTATATTTAATATCTCTTATATAATTTTATATAGAAGGAAATAGAAAGCAAAGCCTCTTTCGGAAAATAGAAAGTATAATATATACCTAAATAAAGCTCAGGAAATGAGCCTAATATAATATATAAATATAGCTATTAAGAGAAGTTTCCTGCTTTAGTATAATATAGTTATTCGGGCTACTATACAAATTCTAGAGGCTATAGGCCTAATTAATAGAGATAATAATTGCCTGGGAAATAATTAGATTCTTTATTAGATAGAAAAGTAAAAGAAGCTTAGGAAATACTATACTATATATATAAAGCTTATAGATTATTAATAGAAGAAAGCACTTATTTCAGAACTAGTTTTAGAGACATTTATATAGCTTTAGGCTATTTTAAATAAGTATGAAATATAAATATTTAATATATATAATATTAATAAGATTAGTTTTTATATTAGATATATTACTAGTTTAATAGTAATTATATATAAGAATATTTAAGAAGTAAATACTATCTAATAATTATATTTAGTATTTTATACTTTATATTTAGTATTTTATACTTTATATTTACTAATTAATATTTATAGGTTTATATTAAAAATCTAGCTAAATAAGAATTAATTATAGTAATAAAATATATTTCAGTCAGAGATTTTATAATTAAAGCCTTTATTATTATACTTTATAAGGTATTTAAAGAGAAAATATTTAATAATAATCTTTCTAATAATATAAAAATTGCCTAAAATAAAACAGGCTATATAAATAATAAGCTAGCTATTAGCTAGCTATAGTATTTTTACTATTAAACTAAAGATATATAAAAAGGCAAATATTATTTTCTTATCTTTAATAGCTATAATAGCTATATAGCTTATAAATTTATATCTATTTATAAGTAATTAGATATAATACTTTTCTATTTACTAGTATATTTTATATATTTCTATTAATTACTAGATATAGGCTATTTCTTATAAGAGAAGTACTAGTATAAGTACTTTATTAAAAACAGAGTTTATATAGGGAAAAATAACTTTATAAAAACTATATTTCTTTAGATATTACCTAAAATTTATAAGAAAACCTTTACTAAAGGAAATATCTAATTATTATTTAAAAGAGCAAGTATTTATATTCTTAATTCTGAGCTAGTTCTTAGAGCTATAAAGCTTTATATTAAAAAGAAACTAGATAATTAGAAGGTTAAAGAACAGCTTTATATCCTTAATAAAAACTACTTTAGTAAAGCTATTTATATACTTATATTAAACGAGTCTCAAGCTAGAATAAAATCTTCTAATTACTTAATATAGAAGAAATAGCCTAATATCTCTTCTAATTTTAAGTTCTTTTATTCCGATATTCTTTTAAGTAATAACGAAATAGAGCTTTCTTTACTTAATTAAACTTAAAATCAAAGTACTAATAATACTAATAATCTTATTTAACTCTTTTCTAAAACTAATATTACTAATTATAGTAAGAAGAACTCTAGAATTAAGGGTCTTAATCTATAATAATATATTAAAACTGCTTTTATATAAATCCCTTATAGAATAAAAGAAGTCTTTATATATATAGATTTTTTTAAAAGATATAAAAATACTATATTATCTCTTTCTCGAAAGTTTTAAATAAGAAATTCAGGAAAGAGGCCCAAATTAAGGCTAATTTGGGAGCTATTACTAAATAGTAGTTATAAGATAAGAATAATCGAGATCTCTAAACTAGTAATTCCTCTTTTATAAATAAAGTAAATTATAAATAATATATTAAATCTATTTATAAAGGCTATATAATCTTTTTTATAGAAGGTCTATATAATATTAAAACTAGAAATAATAAGGAAAAGAAAGACAAACTTACTAGAATAAGGAAAGAGCTAGAGCTAGCCGAATACTAATATAAAGTAGTAGTTAAAAAAAAAGGAAAATAAATAAGGTTAGAAAAAAGGTTAAAAAGACTTAAAAGGTAGAAGATAATCGAAAAAAGAAGAAATAGAGAGCTAAGAAAAAAGCAGGAAAAGATGAGAAGAAGAGAATAGAGGAGGAGGCTAAAGAAGCTAGAAAATAGAAAGCTTTAATATAGAGAAAGAAATTATAGGGTAGAAAGTATAAGATTAAAGCTATTAATACTTAGATAATATAGGAAGATATATAGACTTCTAATTTTAATAGTAATATATAATTTAATATTAATAAATATAATAATTAGTTAATATACTATAAACTAATTTTAATAAAAAATATAAATATTATTATAATTCTAAAGTAAATTATTAATAATTTATACTCGAATCTTTTTATTTCGCAAAAGGCTCTATTAGGTAATTATAGACTTAATTAAGGGCTATAATAATCTAATTTTATTATTTCGATATTTTATATAGTTAATCTAATAATTAATATTTTATTACAAATATTAGAGTTAGTAATATATCGGAGTTATTAGATCTGACTTGCTAATACAAGTCGGCTCTAGTAAAGCAAGGAATTACTAACAGGTAGTATTAGTAAAGCTAATAAATATTATATAATAAAATTATATATATAAATAAGATTTCGCTTTATTTAATTAGTTTCTTAAATAAAACTCAATAACTTATTTTTTATTATATTAATAATAAGCTAATTTTTAGTAAATATTATTAATAAGAACTTTAAAGTTATAGAATTTATTAGTTCAGAAATTCAAATAATAATTAAAGCAATCTTATATAATTATTATAAAAAAGAATATATTCTCAAATTCTAATCTAATTATTTTAATAAGCTTTAATTATTTTTTAAACTTGAATTCTTTTTAATAAAATAACTTAATAATAAATATATTTTTAATATAATTTTATAATAATTTATTACTATTATAAAACCGTTTATTATTACCTTATTTAAGATAAATAATTTATAAAATACTATATAACTATAATTTAATTATTTAATTATAATTAGATATATTTATTATATAATAAATATTATAGGTTTTTAATTTAGAGAAATATAATACAAATCTATTTTTTATATATTATATAAAGCAACTTATAATAATAGACTTCTAAAAGTAATATTATAAAAAAATTATAAAAAAAGATATTTCTTTTAGTTTTTAATATATATATATATATATATATTATTATATTAAATATAAATTCAAATAATTCAAAAAGTACCAGAAATAGTAATAATAATAATAGTTTTATATTAAATATATTTAAAAACATAATTTAATTAATTATATAAATTATATAAGTATTAAATATAAAATAAAATAATAATAATATATATTTCGAAAATAAAAAAGAAAATATATAATAAAACTCTAATAAAGATTTTACAAATCTAAAATAATAATTATAAAATATTAGCTTCTTTAAATTAAAACTTAATAAATTATATAAAAAAGTAATTATATTTTAATAAAAACAAATCTATATTAGTAAAATATTTATATATTTATAAATTAAAAATAATAATATAAATTTATAAATAATTATAATTAAATAAAATTAATTCTTTTATTTTTATAATAAAGTTATAATATAATATATAAATAAGCTAAATAAGCTTTATTAAACTAGCTTTAATTTTATATAAAATAATATATAGAAATAATATATAATATTAATTAAAGAATTTAAAAACATTTTAAATAAAATATTAAGAAAAATATAAAAAACAATTTATTAAAAAGAAATTTTTAAAAAATATATATAATTATATATTATTATAATTATAAAATATATAAAAGCTATTAAATTTCTTGAAATAATTTAATAAATTTTCAAGTTTATAATAACTTGAATATAAAGCTTTATATTTATTATTATTTTTAATAGCTTTATAAAAGAAATATTAATAAAGTTATAATTATAAAAGAGTATATTAGATTTCTAGTTATAATTTTAAAATAATAAATAAAACTAATAATAGCTATTTTAATAAAAGAATAAAAGAAATAATAATAATTTTAATATTATTATAATAAGTAAGATTTATTAATATTTTATAATAAACTAAACTTAAACTAATATTTAAACTTTTTATTTTATATATAAATTTTAGAACTTAATATTTTTTTAACTTTTT